GAAGAATTTGTCAATTAAACAAGTTATTTCGTTTTGAATGGAAGCGGTAGGAATTGGAGGGAGTCTAAGAAGAATAATGAAACAAAAACCGATAATAAAACTATTTCGCTGTTACATGTTAACAATGCCATCCCCTATGCTTGTGTCGCGAAGAAACGGTTCCCCTCATCACCCCCGCTAAAATTGTGAAAGAAAAATAACGCCAGGCAAAACCCCCCTCTCTGTGTATTTTTGCTTGTAAATTTTTTTTGTCAACAAAGCTATCATTGTCTCTCTGGTCCCTCATGCTCCCAGGGCTTCATACAAATTCCTCTATTGTTTGTGACCGCTTTAATCCCAGAGATATTTTTTAAAACCCTGCCGTCGTTTTGTATATGCCGTTGCTTTGGGACAATCAGTCAGCACTCGGTGCAATTAATTTCTATATTGTCCGCCGAGCAAGGCGGAGCTTTACAAAAAAAACTGTCCCAGACCTAATTACCATATAATTTAACTATATAAGCCTTAATTCTCTGTTTCTTTTGCTCACCCCCCCCCCACCCCGCCCGCGCCCCACACACTTAAAAAAAACTTTACTGTTTCATCAAAATGGGAAACATTCATTCGTCTTGTTAGATACATATTATCAGGTTTGATCTTATGAGTAAAAATTAGACTGGCCTGTGTACACAAATCAATCGAAATCGTAAAAGTATTCATTTTGACCTTTACGTGACCTGATTATGTTTCTCCAAGCCGTTTTCCTGTACAAACAAAAATAAAAAAAGAGGAGGGATGTGGAGGAGGATTTTGGCGTATGCTCACAGATTCACCGGAGAGATGAACTATTGGAATGTATAATAAATATATTTTTGTAAGCCATTCTAAGATTGCCAAAAGATTAAATGCGAGTGAAAAATTAAGAAAAGGGGAAATATTTCGAGAGAAAGAGTGGGCGAGAAATATGTTGAAGTTCAGATAAAACTAAAAATTATAATTGCTGAGGAAGGAAACATCAGCATTTGAAACCAGTTGTTCGTGTCATTTATAGAGCTTACAAGGATTATAAATGAATCTGACTAATATTGGATATGGATCTTGTATTATACTGCTATTTTGGTATGCTTTATCAGATACGAGCTTTATTGATTAGTAAGCCGAGCATTCTTGTGTCTTCAACTTGCTCATGAGGGTTGTGGGTGGTCTCGAGAACGCCCACTGTTTCCCTGAATGAATATGCTTTTATTTATTTTTTTCTTATTAACCAATTAACTAGAAAAGGAGAAGCCCCGAATTAAGTTGTTTTTCATTAACTTACCAGGTTTTTATGAACAGAAATATGTTTCACCACTTACACAGTGGTAAAAGTTGACGCTTTCTAGCCGTTTGTCTGTCCCTCTCCCACCCCCACCCCCTTCTCTCTCTTATCTGTCTTTGTTTCTTTTTAAAATTTTATTTCCAGTCTTTTTTGTCACAATCTCCTTCTCTCCATCTCTGTTCAATCCTCTACCTGTCTCTATCCTCTTGTTCAGACTCTCTATATTTCCATAGAGCACTTTTCTTTTCTGGAACTCTTAGTCTTGTCACCCCCACGCTTGCCTTGGTTTTAGCTGTCAGGGGCAATCCCCGGAAAACCGCCCACTGTTTTTCCCCGACAGATTGAGACTGACGATTTACTCTATTTAGCTCTGCTCGTTAGTGTGTTTCTCTTCTCGGTACACCCTCCTCATCCTCCTCTCTTTGTCTCCCCTGCCCACACCTCCCACGTAAGATAAACAGCAAACCAGCAGAAAACCCAATAAACTGACAGCCACAGCAGCAGACAATGCCACCTACGCCTAGTTCTCACAACCACCTCGTCATTTTGGTCTCATTATCACTGAAAAGATGGATGGCTGCTGAATATTATGGTCATTGACATTGTTTTACATGTTTTTGCTCTATGAATTCTGTATGGCGATACAGTCTGCTGCGAACCTTTTTTTTTTAGCTGTTATTCTG